TCTCTCTCTCTCTCTCTCTCTCTCTCTCTCTCTCTCTCTCTCTCTCTTTTGCTCTCAGTGTCAGAGTCTGTCAACCCTTTTTCTGCTGTGCCTCTATAGAGAACCACCAAGCCCACCCTGCCCAAAAAATTGGTAATTTTCGTGTCTAAGGGTAAAGCTATGCCAAATGTAACCTCTGGAGTGACAATGTCACGTGTGGGGTGCCTTTATCATAACGTCTGCACAACCATATCTTTTTACTTCTTTTTTTAACAGTGGCAATGGCTGCTATAATACCTCTATTCCGGGAGTCGTTATACGGTTTTACGGCAAAGCTAAGAAACAGGTACACGCAATTTTAAAAAAAGAGGGGTTCCATATTATTCTCTCTCCATCTGAGTTCGTCTTCAAAAAAATAAAATAAAAAAAGATTCCAGCAGCTGGGCTGCGGGATCATAGCCTCCGTCTGTCTGTCGAGGGCCAAGTTCACGCGCAGGCTTTCCCCTCCATAAAACTGCGGCCCCCTCCGGCTGCAGCGCTATTCGCCCCCCGGACGCAGTCTCCCGCCGTAAATCTTTAATTTCTCAACTTACTTTTAGTTTTTAATGGGTTTTTTGTGCGTGGGTGGGTGTAGTGTACACACCAAAATCTTTAAACTCATTTGATCATAGCTTACAGAAACCTAACATGCTCAGCTTACGAATTGACATTACGCCGGTATGAACAAATTTCTCTATACTGGCGTATTAAGAAGATCGTAAATGGCATAAGATTTTAGTGAGTACAAGAAATACTGCTTTAGCGGCTGCTTAACAAAACGTTGAAGAATCATCGTACCAATACGACTTTTTATGTGACGTCATTGATGTTCTCTCCCAAGAATTCCATATTGTTTCAAAGTAATAACAAATTTGTCGTATCATGACGGCAGTCGCATCACACAACAGCAGCTGCATACTCGTTACTGTACAACTTGCGTAAGCATGTGGCTATGTATAGACATACAAACCAACATTGCTAACGAACTTGACAACAAATATCTCGTAAAATGTCGAAGATTTTTTCAACAGTGCACGTCCGATAGTTAACGACTCTGGGGGTCATTGCGGCACGAGACAAACATATCGAGAAACTAGTGGGTCTGCCAGAGCGCGAGCCGCAAACATCACAAACAACCCCGAGTTCGTGTGTAGAGCTCGGTGTAGAGCACCGTGAAAAAGAAACTCCACCCTCCGAGAACGACGTAATTTGTGCCCGATAGTCGCCGTCAGAGTTCGAACACATACGGTTCCTATGCCTATACTCTCGGCAGCAGCAGACGAATGGAGTTAGTAACTCCAAACGAACACCACAAAGATTTTGGATCATTTCGTAATGAATTAATTCTTATTCTTACTTAAAGCACCGAAATCTGCTCAATAAAATGAACAAACGTCTCTTATTCGCACGGAAGTGTGGAGCAACACTCAACGCACTCAAAGTTTATCGATAAGATTTAGAAGACGAGGGTAAAAAGGTTCATCTTCACTGTGAAAAATATTGCCGTAAGTTTACTAAATTTGTGTAAAATCGAATTGTAATTTACGTTGTAAATTTACGAGAGCACAATTTTTACTCACCAATATGGATTTTAAGTCGATACGTACTGCATGTTTTTTACGTTTACAAATTGTAATTTTACAACTTGCGTCAAGGAAAATTTTCCAGTAGACCTTCCCTATTTTTAACAGTGTTTTGATGTGCTACTCCCACGTCTCACATGCGCTCACTCCCCCCCCCCCTAACATGTCACAATAACACCCGCGTTCAAAAAGAAGTTAACTTTATCTCGGAGTAATCGCATTTACTAAAAGGTCCGTCTCGCGCAATCTAGGTGTAGTGATCTCTCTCTCTCTCTCTTGCAAGCAGCAATAGCGGGCGTGGTGGGGCGGGGTGGGGCGGCCCCCGCAGGCCCCAGCAGCGACCCCTGACATTACCTGAGACCCCACCTACTCCTGTGAGGTATGGCTATACGGAGTACTGCCAGGAACAAGCTCACCGCCGCATAGTCGTCCTCGTTGCGTAGTATTTAGAATACCGCTGCCCCCCTCCCCCCCTTAGCTCCATGTCCATGTCCCGGTTGGTCCCAGATCCCACCGCTGGCCAGCTGCTCCAGTGCTAGTATGCAGTGTCTCGGGACTCAAGACCAATGCACGTTTACTTGCCTTTAGAGTTGGAAATTTTCAGGAAAATATCCGAAACATTTCCGAAAATTTCCGGGAATTAACGGAAAACTGCCAAAGTCTGGGAAATTTTCCGTCTTTTACAGGAAGTTTTCAGTTTTTTCCTGAAATTTTGGGGAAACTTTCCACGGTTTCCAACCCTACGTGTCTTGCACGTTATTCGCGTGTGAATCGTCCTCGTTTTACTCATTCGATTGTCGACCAACTGCGGGTGCTCGCTCGGCGCCTGCGAGACTCGGGTTAGCCCACCCCGCCGTGCACCCATGCACTGCAGGCGAGATGTTGCCTATCTAGCAGGCGCTATGAGAGCCGATATAGGCCCGACTTTTGCAGAGGTTCGTAAACGGCCAAAGACGGGCGCCCTTTCTGGATGATACCTTCTCTGCACGTTTAGATACCCGTTTGCACGGTCTGGTACATACCCGTTTGCACGTTTGGCACCTGTTTGCACGCTGGGGAGCTGGCCATTCAAAAAAGTTCACACAAAAATTAACATCAAACTCACTCAACGATATATCGTGACGCCCACATGTTGATGTCCACGTTTGACCTGTGCGACCAGAACTGGTCCTCTGAAAGGGAAGGAGTAGAGGGGGAAGGAGTAGAGGGGGAAGGAGAAGAGGGGGGAGGGGGGGGGGAGGCGATCCGTCGATGTGATTAGAATTAACGTCCGAAGCGACGGACCCCGTGCGCTGCGACGCTAGCCGCGACCACATAGAGTTTAGCTATGAAGAGTCCCTTTTAAGAAGACCCCGCAGCAGCCGAAATTTACACCCCGTGCGACACTGCTGCGGTCCCCCTCCTGTGGGTCTCGAAAAACACACCTGCGGACCTCTGCGCTGCGCGCTGTAATTATGCATTTGGCTTTGGGGCCTCGCGGAGGGGAGAACTAGTCTATAAATTCAGAGGCACTAGAGAGACACAGCTTCGGGAGGATAGGGGGGGGGGGGCTGTCTACTGCTGGGCCCGAACAGCGTCTCGGCAATATCCGTACTTAAAAAGCTCTGGAGGCTCGATGGAGAACACACCGCCATTCCAGAGGTCCAAAGGAAAAAAAATACGGACCTCATAATGAAGTCTCAGGGAAGACGGGAGTGAGTGTGTGTGTGTGTGCGTGTGTGTTTGAGGGAGAGGGGGAGGGGGGGATAGCGGGCGATGGGTCGGGCCCAGGTTGGCCCTGACAGGGTCAAAAGGGACACAAACAATCTCCCCGGGCCGGGCGCTGAGGCGGGCCAAAGGAGTCCTCTATATTGTCGCAGTTGAAATAAAATGAAATGCACAACGAGAGTGTTGTATACACGTCGTCTAGTTACATGAAAAAAAGGGGAGGACACTGACTCAGCCGATTGAATTGCTCATCTCTCACAGTCACAGTACTATTGCTATCCTTCAATCCCGCAGAGGAAACCAAAACTATTCTAGAGACCAGACACAGTCTGCCGGCAAGAAAAGCGCAGAAAAGTACACTTCAATAACTTAATTAAAACCATTTAGTCGCTTAAAATTAATAGTTAAGGAGTGTTTATAAACATGAAAAGTTAACGAGAAAAGTTCTACTAATTTGTTCTCACAAATCTCATCCAAACTGGTGAAAATTGCTGAAATAATACCAATCTACTTAGAATAATAATGTGAATGTGCAAGACTCAAAAGTTTTGTTGAGACAAAACTGAGGATTTAATGTTGAACGTTTTAAAAATCCCTTAGACAAAGTTCCACGACATGGGATATTTCTGCCTACTGAACAAGTAGAACAAAATTTAGGGATTTAAAAATACTAACGATGTATGAAACTAAAATTATTGTAATCTTATAAGTATTTTCCCCCTATTTAGATTGAACTACTATGAGTTTTGGGTTTGTAACTGTACAAATTACAAATTTTAAAAGTTACTATGTCCTGAGTATCTGCTTAGCATTTTAAAATGAAATTTCAAAAAATAATAATATATTCACTGAGTCTACAACAGCAAATAAAAATAACAATTTTCTATCGAAAAGTAAGGCTTTTAGACATTGGAACAGCTGGAAATAATGTTGTCACTCTCATGAGGACAGCGTGCAATCGATGTCAACTCACAAAAACGGCGCTTGTCTCCAAAACTAACCTCTGGCTGTCACTTTCTGCTGCTTGACCCTCTTTCTGCTTGGCGCATAAACAAACGACATAACCTAACCAGCGCCCAGCGACGAAAATCTTTTTGGCACTTCAGCGCGCCCGGGACCTTCCCCGGACGCCACTCTGTAGCGTCTGGCTCCCCCGAGCGCCCCGCACCACCCGGGACACCCCGGAAACGCGCTCTACGGTGGCTGACATCACCTCCGCGACGACGGCGACGACGGCCAGGACGGGGAGGAGGAGGTCCCGTTCCCCGGGTCACTTACCTCGTGATCCTTGGGGTGGACGTGCGAGCAGTGGTGGCTCGAGGAGCTGGTGGCGGCCACGGCGAGCACCACGCCGACGACGCCCCACAGGAGCATGTCGACGACGCGCGGAACAGGGGTTTTAAGTGACGGGGCGCGGGGGGTTGCACGGCGTGAGCTGCGGCCCTGATCGGCCTTCCGCGGCGGGCGGCCACGAGCGACTGACTGGACTTGGACTGACTCATCTCAGAGCGCGGCGGGGGGCGGCGGGCCGGGGTCGGGGCGGTGCGCCGGCGGGGGGGGGCGGTGGGGGGGGGGGGGGGGGGATAAGGGCGGAATGTCGCGCTGGCGGGTGGCCGTCAAAGGGTGCACGACGATGTGGTTGAGCCGCTTCCAGGACACTCTACATCAGAAAGAAACTGAGGGGGAAAACCGTAAGCGGGCGAAGCATGCAGGAAACAGCAAAAAAAATAGATTTTGTTTACAAAACTAATTTTATGATGGCTGTAATAACGTAATATATAGGGATCAGTCGATCGGCACTGTGCTTGCTTTGTTGTTGTAATTACACGGCACCGTATGCATGCATCTATGCGCGTTGCATACTCGCACGGGGCCGTCTTATTCGAACCCTCAGAACACGTCGAGTTGAGGCTGATTTTCTGAATTTGGTTCAGCTCAGGCGGAGACTGCGATGTCGCAAACTAGAGGAATGATTATTATTACACACAACTCCAAACGCCGCTGCCGGTCACCTTACATCAGTAAACGTCGAAAAAGAATTGCTGCTGAATCCAGTGGTCCTATCAGAGCTTTCAAAATCAGCGCCATTCTCATGAGCAGGCATTCTGTGCACATTATCCACTACCACAAAATGAAAGAGGTGAGCTCAGAATGAACAAATTTAACACCTTTGAACAGTCAAAATCGTGCACAAAAATAAGCGATAATTTTTCTTTAAAATTTTGTTACTTTGGCGTCCCAAAATTCAATTCTACAAGTCAAAAAAATAAAAATAAAATAGACTAGTAAACTTTCTACGTTGGTACAAGACTATGTTGATGAGGAAGAACCTGCGATTCACTTTGGGGAAGTAGCTGCCGACGCATCAGTTCTCCAGTGATAGAGTGAAAGTTGTGGAGTAGCCCCTTTTTATTTGCGAACCTGTAAAGACGTGCATCTCTGTAGCCCCCAAAATGAGAGCTTTAAACACTCTTGCATTTTCAAGTATGGACACTTTATCTTATTTTGGATTAGACTTTGCTAAAATATTACTAGGGTTATGTGTTGTGTATGAGTTTCTCTTTTCTCTGCTTCTGATTTTGCTTAACTTTATAATAGGATGAATGAATGGTCTAGATTATGGATGGCAAACAAAATATTGAATATTTCTGTGAATGAAAGAGTACACTGTTGCCTCAGATATTATCACACCTGAAACACACCAACTCCATTTCAGGGCTCCAGCTTCCACGACATGCCAGGAGTATTACAGGATCATCAGTGCCTGGAGCGCAGGCTCAGCCTGAACCGACACCACACCAAGACACTAGCCGCCCCAAGACAGCCGTTCTGATGCTGAACATGGGTGGCCCTCAGAAGGCAGAAGAGGTTGGAGAATACCTGCTGCGGATCATGACTGACAGAGATATGATTCAGCTTCCAGTTCAAGGGTAAGGTATATCCAATTAGGAGTATGGTTCCTAAAACGAAATGGTGAGGCAAAATTCGTTTAATGACTTTTTTTTTTTTTACAGATATTTGGGGCCATATATAGCCAAACGCCGAACTGCAGATGTCATAAAGAAGTATGCTGAAATAGGTGGTGGCTCACCAATTTTAAAGTGGACTCAATTACAGGTAAATACCAAGGTACTAAATTAATTTTTCTCTAATCTAAATTATATTTATAATAATATCATTGTACTTGTTTAAGGGGGATCTCTTGTGTAAAAAACTAGATGCCATTTCACCTAAAACAGCACCACACAAGCCGTATGTTGCATTTCGATATGCAAATCCCTTGACTGAAAAAACTTTAGAAGACCTGGAAAAGTAAGTCAATTACACTAGATACTTCTTTTGTGTAAAGTTGCTACCTATGCCACCAGAAATTTCACTTAATTGAAATGCCTTTCTAGGGACAAGCCTCAGCATACAGTGGTCTTTTCGCAGTACCCACAGTACAGTTGTGCCACAACTGGTTCCAGCTTTAATGCTATTTTTACCCACTACTCCAAGAAGTAAGAATTCTGCTCATACAAATTTTCAACTATACAAATTACAGTAAATTTGTTAGTACAAATGTTAATGTTTGTTTTATTTAACAGGCCTATGCCTGCAGGAATGTCTTGGAGTATTATTGACCGTTGGGCTACCAACCCTAAACTTGCTAAGGTGTTTGCTGAGAGAATCACAAACGAGCTTAGTAAATTTCCTGAAGACATTCGCAAAGATGTCATTATTCTTTTCTCTGCACACTCCTTACCCCTCAAGGTAAGATTTTTAGTGAGGCCTCATGGTAATAGCTATTTTTGTCATCTATTGCATCTTTACCATATTCACATCTTTTTTTGTTTGTGTTGTTTCATGCAGGCAGTGAACAGAGGAGATCCTTACCCATCAGAAGTTGGTGCGACTGTACAGCTTGTAATGGACCAGCTGGGTCACTGCAACCCATACAGTCTTGTATGGCAGTCAAAAGTAGGTCCTTTGCCTTGGTTGGCTCCATTCACGGATGATGCCATTAAAGGTAGGCAATAAGAAATACATCAAACCATTGCAACATGTTGTTAGAATGTCTTAAAACCATACATTAAACTAATTATTTTCCTGAAAACCTGCAGGTTATGTGAAACAAGGCAAAAAGAATTTCATTTTGGTGCCAATTGCTTTTGTTAATGAGCACATTGAGACACTCCATGAGTTGGACATTGAGTATTGTCATGACTTGCAAAAAGAGGTAAAAAGGCAGTTGACATTATTTTATCCCCCCGATTGAGCTCAATTCTACTGTGACTCATTGGCTTTCAATTTTCAGCTGGGTGAACTCAACATTAAACGAGCTCCGGCCCCCAATGACCATCCCCTTTTCATTGAAGGAATGGCTGACATTGTGAAATCTCACCTTGAAGGAAAAACAGCAATCAATCCAAAGTTCCTGACACGGTGTCCACACTGTGTGAATGAACGTTGTCACTCCTCAAAACAGTGGTGGAGAAGTATTTGCAAACTTCCAGCCTAGTTCACTTCAAAAGCTCTTTCCCTCAAATAAAATGGAAATGTTAAATGTCATGCTTTGTGAAGACTAAATTTGTCTTAAATATTAGGTTCCTTCTCAGTAGCCTGGTAAATAACTGCCATAAAATTTATGAAATGGATTGATTTTAGAGTTATTATATGCAACTTTTCTATATAATGGTTAGTTACTTTTAAGTTTATCTGTGATCTAATATTTGCTGCTCAAGGGTCTATACTATAAAAATGTGCAAATTATTATTTCATTAAAATATATATGAACAGAATTCATGTTATAATTTCTAAGTTCCTCAAAGTCTCTAGAAATCTGTTTAGCCTCTCAGAATGATAAGAAATAAGTCTCAAAAAATAAAATTGATTCATATTTAATTTTGTTTTCCTTCAGAGCACCTGTAGCATTACATGTCAGACGTACTCCACTTGTAGGCCTCCTCTTCCACTGCTTTCTTAGCATTGATTGCTTCAAACCTCTTCTTTTCATATCCATTTGATCGATCAACACCATCCCACCGATAGCCAGGTCGAATATTATAGCGATTTGGAGGAAAGGCCCCTTGATACAAGGGAACTGGAATAAAAATAGAAAAAAAAATAAAAAAATTAACAGACCTCATAGACATAGAGCATTTCGACATTTAAAATGGGTATCAAGAAATGAATGTTAACTTACGCTTTGATTTTGAATCCTCTTTCTTCTTATTTCTTAAATAAGCAAGCATAGGGTCTCCTTCACGATCCTGTTCACGAAGATAACTGTCTAAGTCTGTGTCATCAGCATACCGTGCCAGGGGTTTTGACATCTCATGCATGTCAGCAGCAAGGCGATCCTGCTGGTCTTCTGTCTGTTTCAACCTAAAGGAAAAAGCAAGTGAATCAACAAAAGCAAATTGCGGGCAAATAGGTGTGCCTCCAATGTATCTTAATGAATGAGAGCTTTAAAGATTAAATGCTCACCCTTTACCCCATCTGCTATACTTTTCTTTGTGTTTGTTTTCTGCTTCACTTTTAATTCTCTGCTCTTCTTGTTCACGTGCTAAATCCCTCTTCAATCCTGTTTTCCTATCTCTCTGTACTGCCACAGCTCCTCTTCCAGACAGTGCAACATCCATCTAAGAATGAAAACTTCACATTATTTCTTGTACAATGGAAAAACATTTTTACATGAAAAGAGGAATGTTATACTAATTACATGCAAAAAATAATACATACCTCTTCAAATGCCCTGTCTTCTCGTCTTTTCAGTTCCATCAACTCTTCTTTAACATGTTTCGGATCTTGAAGCCCAGCTCGCTTGCCATCTAATGTTTTCTTCATTTTCCCATCCTGTTTTCTGTCTCTCTCTTCCTCCATCCTAGATTCTCCTTTAGTTTTTCTTGGAGGAGAGGTGTCTGAATCATATCTATGTTTTTTCTGAGTTACGTGATCACCTCCTCGGTTTGGTTTTTGTTTCCTCGGAGGTGAAGCATCCGAATCACTATTTCTTCTTCTTCTGGCTGGTGATACTTGTCGACCTTTCCTTGGAGGCGATGCATCAGAGTCATTATGTCGACCCTTCCGAGGAGGAGAAGCATCAGAGTCATTTTGTCTCCTTTTTCTTGGAGGTGAAACATCTGAATCACTGTCACGTTTCTTCCGTGACAATGTCATAGATTCATCAGCATACTTCCTCCTTGATGAATCCGAACTGCGTTTGAGTCTTGGAGGAGAAGTATCTGAATCATCTCGACGCTGGCGCCTAGGTGGGGACTTGTCTGAATCATAGCCTGAACGTTTACGAGGGGGTGATGTATCAGAATCATCTTGCCTCTTCTTTCTGGGTGGAGATACATCATCATCATTTTTTCTTCTTCTAGGAGGAGAGGAATCTTCGTGATTTCTGCTTTTACTACTCTTCGGCTCGGATCCCTTCGGTCTTATGTCGTATTCCTCCTCTTCAGATGGAACATCATCTGTTGGTTTGGAACCTCCAGACGAAGACACACGAACATCCCCATCAGTGTCACCTATTACCTTCCAGCGTTGTGTCTGTTTGTACTGGTCTAGTGCCTTCACTTCAGCAGGACGTTCGTCAACTAGCCCAACAATTTGGGGTGCATCTTCATTCAGCTCGTACAAGTCCAACGCACTCTCATCGAGCTGTTCGAGTTTGCTGAGATCTACGTCGTCGTCGATGACTTTCACCGTGGCCCTGAAACAGAGGTGCAGAGCGAATTTCAACGCTTGACACGGAATGCCATAAAGTAATGACGTTTCGAACGAATACCGATCAACGGTAGGTTGCTTCAAGACTTACCGAGACGGGTCTGGTCCTTTAGGCTTCTTTTTCTTCTTTTTCTTTCCATCGGTAGACTTTGAAAGATATTTCTTAAGATAATCCTTTTGACTAGGTTTACCAGTTTCAGTCGACATAGTGCACTTTTCCGCAAAATGTTAAGATGACAGCAACGAAAACGATGCACGGTTCTAGAGGTTATGTTGACATTATGGATACCAACCTCACCGAACATGCAGAAAACTAAACTTCATCCCTGGAGATGTGTTTACATTCACTGTTTAAAAACATAAAATGCCATCATCTTTTGAGAAGAGTCTGCCGTAGGCTTTAAAAAGCACGAGACGTTCTGTCGCACAAAGGTTGCTTTCGGAATCGTCTTGTTTGCATTTTTTTTAAGGTTGTTGAACCTTTATTCTATGTTTGTATGAAAAATTCAGGAAAATATTAAAAATGGCGCGATATTTCAAAGTTGACTGCGCTACAGGTTCAGACCTTGGCAGCATTTGAGTTTACAGGCAAGCGAGGGGGAGAGGAAAAGTTAGAAGGAAAAGCAGGAAAAGTACGACGTCGGGAATATACCCTGGCATAACTTCCAACCTTCCAACACGCCAAATTTTGGTCAAAATGGACCTCAAGATGTGTCACAATTGATGACAATTTTGACATCGCGAGATGAGCCAGCACCGCTCAAATTGCTCAAATTCCTCTTCCCGCCCCAACCCCTTCTCAACTTCACAGTTGATGGATTTAGAAGATGGATGGAGTGGGGGGTGCATTCGCCAATCGCATCGTATGTCATTCCACCGACGCGAGCGCTATCTAGCGGCCATCGTCGATTTTTCTTCCCCGTTCCTTCCGAAGGGCGTGAGTTACAAGCGATCAAAATGATTTTGAGTCCGAGAATGTACTTCATTGCGTTCCCAAGTGGGTAGGAAAAGTTGTACTCTTTCCCCTGACACCACGATCGACATGTACCCCACCCACCTTTACATCCGAATTCGAACCTTGCGCGCCTTTTTCACGTTGGCATACAGCGCTCCTAGCGGTCACAAGTGGCAGAAGGCGCCATTTCTCTTTCTCCCCCAACCACCATCACCATCCCCGTTCGCAACCTTTGTTTTTGTCGTCTGCGATCAAGTTGCGATTGCACAATTGTTTTGTTTTGTCATGCCCGCAAGTTAAAGAGGAAATCTTTACGATGTCTCTGGAAAACTCACAGTATACTTTTCACAGTCTCCAGAATGCGTCCAAGGAGGAAGTCAAGAAAGGTAAGGCCGTCTTCGTGCACCCCTGCGATCCCTTAACCAGCGTGAGACAGTAGTTTTGAATTCGTCCGGAATTTCGTCACCAACTTCTATAATTTTCCGTGTCTGCGGTAGTTTGACTTGTCTTCACTGTTTCTTGCTTCCAGAGATTGACAGAATAGCGAAAGAGGCCGATCGAGCCTCTGATGATGCTCAGGACGACGAGCCTGAAGGGGATGAGTTTACTCAAGAAGCCGGCACCCAGAGTCAGAGTCAACGAAACGTACGGGTAGGTAAACAGTGGCACCACGGTGAACGTCTCCCTCGGCGAAGCGCGGAAACGGCATCGTTTAAGTCATAGGAACGTTTGGCGTCCTCACCTGCGAGTCGTGCGCAGCCTGCAAGGCGGGCCGCGGGCCTTTCGTAGCGGCCTAGCGGGCTGGCCTAACCAGTACGTTGCAGGCGCTATCCACTGTCGGAGGACTTTAGTTTGCCTCAGGCTCTGTGACTAAACTAAACTTTTTTGTCCTGGACTAAATCCTACGTGCAACCAACTTCTCCTGCCAACGTCGCCTGCCATCCCAGATTTGTTTTTCTCTGATTTACTGTGTTTTCTTTCTTGACAAAGTAATTTACTACAAGGGTTTTAAAATTCCTTTGTTCCCTGTTATTTTATTCCTGTTATCCCTGGAAAACAAATTTCTGGGTGCAAGTTACAAGGCAACACACTTTGTGACAGCACCTTGCTCAGCATTTATAGGAAAACGACCTCCTTGCCTCCTTTCTCCATTCCTTCCCTAACACCTGTTGTTTTTCAAGGAAAACACGTTTCTCACAAATACCTGATTGTGCCCCTTTATGACTGATGAAGTCACGATTCTTTCACTTTTGAGGTCACCAGTGAGGTCACAAGTGCTGGAATCGTGACCTCGTAAGTCATAAAGAGTTCATGATGTGGGAAAAAACTTTTCCTTGGTTTGGAGCTTCTACCCAGTGAGAAATGATCAATCCAATAGATATCAATTCAACGTCAATGATGAAAATGTGTCCCACAATTTGATGATATTTTGACGAATGTTTGTCAAATTGATGTATTTTTGATTGTCCATTTCTCACTGGGTATCAATCTAATTTGAACCTTTCCACGGTGTTGTAGGAACGACCTGTCAGTGGAACAATTCTTGAGGTGCTTCTTCAAGATTTCCTTTGTCATGCTCACATGAAAGTTATTCTCAACAAAGAAATCAACTTCATCGTGGGAAGAAATGGTAGTGGCAAGAGTGCCATTCTCGCAGCCATAGTTGTCGCCCTAGGTGGCAGTGCTAGCACAACTGGCCGAGGAGCAGCTTTGAAGGGTATGATTACTAGTATTTTTCTAACTATCCTTTCAAAATAGGTTGCTGTTTGATGTATCATGATGGTTTCTATTTATTACTTTGTAGATTTCATAAAGCATGGGTGCAATATTGCGAGAGTTACATGTGTGATTAGTAATGCAGGGGCCATTTCGTACAAAAAAGAAATCTATGGAAAAAAAATTGTTGTTGTCAGAACACTGCATGGTACAGGTGGCTCTGCTATTAAGTTGAGGTCAGAGAAAGGTAAGCCTTTGGACCCCATTTTCTCTCAACACCTTTTGCACATTCTGTAATGTTTATGTTTGCTTTTTTTAAGGAAAATTAATTTCCTCTAAAATGGAGGATTTACGAGCTATGACCCTACAATTAGGGATACAAGTTGATAATCCAATCAGTGTTCTAGATCAGAACACTGCTCGACATTTTCTAGCTCAAAGCAAGCCTGAAAATAAATTTGAATTATTTATGAGGGCTACTAATTTAGGGACTCTCCAAAAAATACATATAGCTATCAATTTATCTCTTGATAGTATCAAGCTAGAGATTGACAAAAAGAGTCGAGTAAGTTGTATTCAATTCTTCTTTAAGACAATGGATCTGTTGCTATGATCAATTAATTGCCAATCTCCTTTTTGTGTTTCAGCAACTTGTTGATAACAATCGGGAGGTTGAAAAGGCTAGACACTTATTTGAGCTATTGGAAAATCTTGAGAAAGATCGGGACAGAACGAAAGATTTGAAAATGGAATTGCTCTGGGCAGAGGTAAGACATATTCATTTATGTAACAGCTTTACTAAGTGACTGAAGTACTTTTATTTAACGAGAAACACATGCCATCTACTTTTCTTAAGGTGCGAGACTATTTGATTAACCTGAAGCGCTTACAGAAGGATCTTACGAAAGCTCAGAAAGAAAAACAGCATTTGGAGGAAATGTTGTTATCAGCTGAAAACACCGAAACAGAACCACTACTCCAGGAAATTGAGTAAGACTTTCAATGCTGTTAAAATCTAAATTTTCTAATCAAAATTTTCCCTTTAAAGCATGCTACCTTAATAACCATTTGTTGTAGGGCATTAATAGCAGATGTAAAAGTGCTTGAAGAGCAGAAAAGACAAGCAGAGATAGATATCAAAACCTTAAGAATTTCATTCACAGCACTCAACCAGAAAAAGCAAAAGTTACAGCAAGACAAATGTCAGAAGGAAAGCAAAATTAAAGAAGAAATGAAAATGATTGATGATTACAAAGCAGAAATTAGTTCTCAAGAACAAAAGTTAGTTGGTATTTGGTATTTGCAGGACCCTCATATGTTGTTTTGTTTTTTTAAGTCTATTCCGTGATCTTACTACTGCTCTTGTGATCTGTTAGGATGTTACCAGAGCACATGGATACCAGGAGGAAGCACAAAGAAGAGATGCAGGAACTCCAAAGACAGTTGAATGACAAGAATGACATTAGTCATTCTAAAGATGCTGAGGTTCAAGAACATCAGCGTCAGCAGTCTGTGGTGAAAGATGCTTTAAAGCAACTTCAATACAGCAAAAGGCGACATGAAGATGAGCTTAGTATGTACTTCTAAAAAATTCCTATTCATTACATGTTGTACATTACATTGCTGCTTACATATGTGAGCCTTTGCAGGGACCTTATCTGGAAAACTTAAAGGATTCCAGTCCAACAATCAATCAAATTTATCTTTATTTGGGCCTTACATGCCTGAATTAGTTAGACAAATTGAGTTGTGTACCAAGTTTAGAAAGAAGCCAGTTGGACCTTTGGGTAATTTCTTTTGTGTACTTTTATAATGTGGAATAATCTATACAATTGAAATAAGTAAGTTCCTTTGGTGTTGTTTTTTAGGAATATATGTAAAAGTTACGGACTCTAAATGGACCCTAGCTGTAGAGTGTGCCATGAAATCTCGGCTTAGTGCCTTTGTAGTTGAACACACCGAAGATAAGCATGATTCAAACCTTCTCAATAATTTAATTGAGAGAACATGTCAAGGTTCCAAGCCACCAGTAGTCCGATGTGGTTTTACTACAAAGGTAAAGTTTTCAACACCATGAGAAAAGCCATTTGGAGTAGCTTTGTAAAATTCGAACATACAGTAAAAAATTTTTTTTCAGGAATTTGATACTTCTAGAACGTGTGCTCGAACCTCTGAGTATTGTAACGTTTTAGATGTTGTTACAATCTCAAATGTAGTTGCTAGGAATGTCCTTGTAGACCAATTGAAGCTCGAGAAAACTTTGCTCATCCCTTCAGATGATGAATGCTACAGGTTGCTGCGTTCAAGGAATTCTGTACCAAAGAACTGTGAGAAAGCCTATACTATTAATGGTGATCAATACATCCCAGCACCTTGGTATGGTTCCTACGCATCTGTTCAACAGTCTCCCAAAATTTTAGAATCGTCAATTTCTAATGTGATCAGGTATACTTCATAGCTATCCAGAACCCATTTTGGTCTGCATCTTTCAAACAATTCCAATTCGGAGGTGTTTTAACTCTGTGCTTTTACAGGACAACAACTCAGAGAATTGGGGAGTTGCAGGAAACACTGCAGCATTTGCAGCAAAATATTTTAACATCTATTCAAGATTCATTTAATATTGGCAAACAGTTAGACAAGTGTCGTCATGAACACAAAAACATTTCTGCGGAAATTTTATCAACAAAAGCAAAACTTGAAAAGTTAAAAGATGTTGAACAACCAGATACAAATTCTGTGTCTGTGTTGCGTGAAGAACTTCTCTTGAGGGAGCAAGCGTTGCTGCAGCTGAAAAGCAGTCTTGATGACATTCCTGCAAAATTAGATGCTGTTGAAGCAGAGAGAAATGAATTAAAGCTTAAAGGTTCAGAGGCTCAAGCCAAGCTCAAGGAAATAAATGAAAAAATTGAAGACCACCAAATAAAACAGAAAACATGCAGGGGTCAGTTAGATGAACTGCACAGTGCTAAAGATGAGAAAAGACGAAAATTAGAGCAGGTTAGTAAACAAGAGGACCAATTGATTGTTCGTTCTAATGATCTGAAAGAAAAGCATGACAAAGCTAAAGATGCTGCTGAGAAATATGAAAATCACATTCGTTCTGAGTTAGAAGAAAGACAGCTGAAAGCAAAAGAAACTGCTGGGAATTCTCAAACTAACAATCAGAGACCTAAAGAAAAACCAAAGGAGTTTCAAAGTCAATCTAGTACCAACAGGTACTGTTATATTCTTGCTTACAATTACCTTTTGTTTAATTCTGTGTTGAAAGTCATCCAATCTTGTATTCCCTTTCCTTGCAGAAATATCCGGGAAATTGATCAGGATTTACGTTCCCTAAATAGGAAGCTATCTAGTGCTGAAAGTGCACTTGGCGAAAATTCAGCTACAATAGAGGTTGAATATAGAGATAAAATGTTGGCCTACAAGGCTACTCAAAAGTACATTATTCAGTTGAAATATAATGCAGAGGTATGTTTTATTGTTGAAACAAATAATTAAAAACACACCTCTGTTTCATGTGAAACTTTACAATAGTCACTTGATTACAGTTCATAATGAGGGCTCTTCAGCAAAGGAAATCGCTATACCAAACTCAAAAAATGCTCATGGGTGGTGTAGTTTCTCATCAATTTGGTAGAGTCTTAAGAATTCGAAATTGTACAGTAAGTTTGGTTCGGTTCAGTAGTCATAATGAAGCATAAATATTTCAAATTTATTATATTTTAGAATTTTATTTACTTTGCTCTTTTAAAATGCTTGATTATTTGTCCTAATGTTATGCATTTTACAGGGCAATGTTCGCGTTGACTCTAATAGAAAGACATTGGAAATAAATGTTGGGCCTATTGATGGAGGGGAGACAGCCGGTCTAGGAACGTCATCTCTCTCAGGTGGCGAGAGGTCCTATGCAACTATGGCTTTTGTCATTGCACTATGGAATGCGACTGAAGTTCCTTTTTATTACTTAGATGAGTTTGATGTTTTTATGGTAAGTTTAAAAATTGTGACATGGTTGTGGAAAGATGCAATACTAATATCTATGTTTCACATTTTATTGTGCTCTCCAGGATATGCTCAACCGGCAGACCGTGCTCACTCTGCTACTGCGCTTTGCAAAGCAAAAACGTGGATACCAGTTTGGTTTCTTGACTCCACTTGACACCACTTCTATCAGTGGATCGAGCCGAGTTACTGTATTAAGGTATGTTATCTTTAGATTATTTTGTAGAGGGGGGTGGGGGGGTGGGATTGAAATATTGATAAGACAGTCACTTTGCTAATTTTTCCTGATTACTAATCTGTGTTTGTTTGCTTTTGCAGGCTAGCTGATCCAAGAGACAATCCCTTATAATGTTGCTTCTACTGGGACAAATAATATGTTACAGCATTCTCTTCATTTATGTCTTTTAAGCTACATTTCGTAATGTATTGAAAAAAATTCTATTTTAATTGTTTTCTTATAGTTTTGAATATATTTTGTTGCATGTTAATCTTATACCTCTACAATCTTGTTCTAACCGAAGATCTTGAAAGAAAGGTCTTACCAATTGACACCTTGAAGCCCACTTTTTGGCTTTGAATTGAAGAATATGACAATAATAAAAAGAAAGAAAACAACTTTTCAACAAGTTACTGTTATTGAGCCGTAACCAGTCTTCTAAATGCATTTCAGATAGAGATCTTAAATATGAAAGTTTGAGGATATCTATAGTCAAATGTAGACCACCTGCTCTGGTGCCAGGGCGCTCAGGGCGGGCCGCCGTTTCTGCAGGGATGCTTGGCGGGTTGGCCTACCCTGCACGTTGCAGGGGCTGATGTTGAGGCTCAAGGAGACACCCAGGCCCAGGGGGAAACAGCTCCAGACCAATGAGAAGGCACCATCTCAGCGTCCGCTGCATATTGCCTCTTGCGCCATTTGTAGGGCAGTGGGATGAAGAAGGTCACAAATAGTGAAAAAGAATCTCGTGTTTATTTTGCTTTGACTCAAAGACCAGAAAACATGGTATGTCTTGAAATATGAAGAAACCAGCAAGGTAAGAAGGTTTTGGACCCCTAAAACATTGCTAGGCGAGTGAAGCAGATTGTGGCGTTTAGATGTGACAGTGTCGGAAAATAGGCTGACTTTAGATTGGGCCTTTTCGCCAATCGGTCATGAACTTTAGGTAAGATGTTATGGGAACTGTTAGTAACCCATCGTCTCCAAGCTTAAGTCAGCACATTTTACGATTTACATAAGGAACTGTCTTTACATGGCATTGGTAGGCTCACACATTTCCTCAGTCAAATTTCATGACAAAGAAGAGACTCATAGTCAGTTCGTGATTTTTGTTTGTTCTATTTTTCTAATTATACATCTACAACGCTTTAAAGTGGTCCGTACTCAAAGACATTATAAAATTAACTGTATTCTCAAATAACTGACTGAATGCATGTTTCCAAATTAGGTTGACGCTGCGGCATTGGTTCTGTCAATGAGAAGAGACTGCAGGTATCCTGCATTCCCTTGGGGAACAAAAAAAAAGTGTGCTGACTTTGCATTACTTTGTACAGACACGAGATGATTCAGTACAGGACCCATGATCCCATCACATTTTTTTAAATATAATTTACAGAGAACAAACAAGTGAGGACGAGTTGAGTTCAACTTTCCTCACTCACTTACACACTCTTTCACACTCATGTACAAATCAGTCCAATATTGATGATTGGAGCACACTCACACCTCAACGAAACAGGGAAATGATATACATACGAGTTGGAGTAAAGTTTTCATCTGTCAGTTTACAGTGTGCGCAATGTTAGGATGATATGATGCCGATACGATGACGACCTTTTGGTCCGGAAGCCTCCGTCTCTTCAGTCACACCTGTCGCTGGCTGTCATGTCCGTCACCGTCACTTCCGTTTCAGTCGCGTCATCGATGTCCAGTTCCTGGGTCAAGGTCGGGGTCAGGGGGTCACAGCCTGGGGAGATAGGGGTGCCCCGCCCAGTTAGCGCTCACAGTCGAAACAATGTCCAAACGACATGTCGCCGGGACGTCAGATTTCGGACTGCCGACACGTCTTCGACGTCGTTTCGATTTACCCCCGCGCGAGGTACCAGGCACCTGGACAGTGTGGCGTGTTTCTCATCGCTCAAACGCTCGCACTACGAAACAATCCACCCTGGCGGACGTTAAAACAAAACAAAATAAAAACAAACACACTTTCCATTTCTCTGATGGTCTCTTTACTCTCTATTCGGCGCAGCACGGGGGATGCCCCCGTGACTTTTAATTATTTATTTTTTTACATAAACGAAACTATTAAACTCCTGTCCGTTTTTTGTTGTTTTTGAGGAAGCACAAGGAAACACAACAACGCCCGTGCGGCGAGTCTTTGGCGTCGTGCTTCAGAACCGGCGGCGGCATCCTGGGGCCGAGTGCACGGCGCACGGCGGCGCCTGCGGCCCGCCCTGGAGACCCTGCAGGCCGCCCTGGAGGCCCTGGAGGCCCTGGTCCTGGTGGGCCGCGGCCTCGGCGGCGGCGCAGTCCGGGCCGCACGCGTCCGGGGCCGGCCCGGGCAGCGCGGCGAGGTGGTGCAGCGCCGAGGACGAGGCCGAGGCCACGAGCTGGTCGGGCAGCACGTCCACGTCGGCGTTGAGCGCCTGGCGGGAGGTGGCGGCGGACACCGGTCGGCGCCGCCGCTCGTGCCCCTAGGACGGCTGGAACGTGACCATCTCCATGGCGTGCGACAGCGGGCTGGGCGGGCCGTGGTGCGGCTGCAGCAGGCCGTGCGCCAGCCCCCCGTGGCCGCCGCCGCCGTGCGCCTCGCCCTGGCCGTGCAGCTGGAACGTCTGCAGGTCGATGCTCGTGCCCGGCACGTAGCTGGGCGTCATGTGGTGGCACGTGTGGCAGCGCTTCACGGCCGGCCGCTGCCGGGGGCCGAAGCAGCGCAGCGCGAAGCGCAGCTCTTCCCCCATCTCTGAGCACAGCGACCTCTGCAAAAAAAGAGTTACAAAGAAGTTGAAAAAAGATGAAAAAAGTTTTAATTGTTTGGAAAAGTTAAAAAGAAATTATAAAGAAATGGGAAAAACATAAAAACAACCCAAAACCCTTACAAAAAATTCCCCCACAAAACAAAATTGAAGACAGCAAAACATTTTTGTCAAAGTTTGTTTGATTTGCTCACTCACCCTGTCTTGTCGTGCGTTTCTCTGCGAGTTCCAGCAGAACTCGATCACAGCCACGAAGATGGCGAGCACCAGGCCGCACAGCAGCACCACGAACACGCCGCCGATGTTCTCGATGCCGAGCGCGCTCGCCTTGGACTCCTTGTTCTTCTCGTCCCGGTTGCAGACGTCCCCCGTGTTCTTCCACCACTTATCGTACAGCATCTGGATCACGCCCTTCTCCTGCAGCTCCAGGATGGCCAGCGAGATCTTGTCCCTCCAGGGCGACCCTTTCGGGGTGGCGATGCCGTAGCCTTTGGAGTCCAGGAGGCCGCCGATCTGCGTCAGGTTGCAGTCCCGCTGCACCGCGTAGTCCAGCATGGTGGACTCCATGAGGAAGGCGTAGTTCCCCTGGAGCACACGCTTCACTCCCTCCTCGTAGGTCGAGACGAACACGGAGGGCTTCTTGTTCTCCATGAATCGCCACATCTTCTGGTAGATTTCTATCTTGGAGTCCTGCCGGTCAAGCACAACAAGTAAGTATAGGACTTAAAATTTTCCTGGAAATTTATTTTTCGGAAATTTTTCAAGAATTTCTGTTCAAATGTTGGAATGTTTTCCGCAAAAGTCGCTTTTCGTTATAAATTTTCTGGAAATATTTCAATTGTTTTCAACTGTTAGAGGAAAATTTTGCATTGAAAAATGCCCAGAATTACACGAGAATACCACAGAGTGGAGTCCTCGTCGAGGTGCTCCTCACCCTGAAGAACGTCATGGTGGAGCCGCCCTCCAAGGTGCCGTACGAGATCTCGGTCTGGTCCGCCAGGTCGGCGGCGTTCTCGATGGGCGTGATCATCCGCTCGACGGTGAGGAAGGCGGCCAGGTTGGCCGTGTACGAGGAGATGATGATGAGCGTGAAGAACCACCAAATGCCGCCCACGATGCGCGTCGAGGTCGCCTGCGGGGGACGGACACGAGAAGGTGACCATGGAGTTTGCAAGAGTTCAACAACTTGGGGACCGTCCATAAAGTTCGTCCGTTTCTTTTCTTTTTTTTTCTTCAGATTCTATCGGCAAATTACAAGAGCTTGGCGCCTGCGAGAATCAGGGTAGGCCAACCCGCAGTACACGCATGCGCCGCATGGACGATGTTGCCTACCTACCAGGCGCTAAGGCAGCGTGCATAGGCTGAACTTGGCAGGTTCGTAAAGGGAAAAAAATCTTTCTTGATGATCCCTTACAGCTGGTTGGAGGGCTCTTTTTACGTTTAAGGAGTACATTTACCGGTTGAGGACACTTTGCTGTGCTCACCTTGGGGTTGAGACCGGAGCCCTGGCGCAGGAAGGTGCCCGTGATGAACCAGAAGCTGTTGGAGACGGAGAACTGGTTGTGCACCACCTCGGGCTGCCCGCGGCCCGTGCAGTTGGGCACCGTGTTCCACTCGTAGGGCGAGAAGCGCGCCATCACGAACAGCGTGAAGCTGACCAGGAGGTACGCGGCCAGCACGTAGATCCAGATCTCCACCGCCAGCGGGTTCATGAAGGAGAACAGTCGCGTCGGCTGGGACGTCGGGACCTGCGGCGACGTGGAAAGGGTAAGTTTAATATAATAAGGGGAACTTTAGCCGAAAACTAGGTAGAGATTTTATTAGTCCAAAAGGTGTTTTTTTTGTTTTATTTTTAATTGGAAACTTTTATGGAAAAAACCGGGGAAAGCCGAAGGAAAACGAAACATTTTTTTTAAAAGTAATTTTCTCAAAGGATAAACGTTATTTTAATTTTTGGGGAGAACAATACGTTCTCTTCTCGACAATTTAAATCTCTAGCCGCAACAGCCAACTGCCCCGTCATTGACTTTCTTCTTTCCTCGACCTTTACCTTGAACAGGATCCCTATGCCGAGGTTCATGAACGGTTTCGTAAAGTCGATGACGCTCTCCCTGGCGTAGTTGATGGTCATGGAGGCCACGGCCAAGTCCGCCCTCTGAAACAACGAAAACAACAAGAGCGGGGTGAGTTACGGTACAAAAATAATACCTCGGCGACTTTACTTTACAATATATAATTTTTCGCCGACAAAACAGTGCCGAACGCGGTCGTACTTTATTTTATTAGAGACCTGTAGACCTCGCGCGTCTAAAGAAGAATACAAAACTACTTTAATTTCGTCTTCTGAAAGTTCCCCCCGCTGCTAAAACGTGCCTCTACATTTTCCCGTGCAGTTGGGTGGGTGAGCGCCGGCCCGTGCACACAGGCGCGGTTATGGCCTGCTCCTGCCACCAGGTGACAGAGGAGAGGGCACCTGCTCCCAGCAGCTCAATTCAACCCCCCC